CCCTGTCTCAATTTCATTGACATGCTTATTCTTTTTTTCAATACATTTATTTACAAATCGTTATGTCTTTTCTCAATAAATGTATTTACAAATCGGCTTAAGGTTGCACTTTGTAAATACAGCTGTTTCACAAGCCACGCCTCTTTTGGGGAATATATAATATTCATAGATATTTTGTTTTGTTTTCGTACTGGTTACCAGCTATGATTTCTATGTTTCATCTCATAGAGAAATAACTTGGGAATGTTATCAGTATAAAACACATGGTAGCGGAGAAATTGAATTCTAAGAAATTCTCAAAGTGAAGGTAGGGGTAGTACAGAATTTTAGTATAAGTTTAAACTTTTAGAAGTTCGGGGCAAATTAATGTTGAAAATATGCCGCACAGCCCTATGTTTTGACACTTGAATAAAAAAGTAGTGCATATCAACTTTCCACTCTAGGATATAATTGTTTACGGAACTTCATAGTAAAAGTGGCACAGCTTTAGCCGCAAAGGGAGTTCCTATTGGAAATTGCATTGTCTATATTTAGAGAAGTGCAACCTATATTGGGTGAAAAAAAGAGAACATATAGAATTTCACCCAATTTGGTTTATCTCAGAGATTTTAATGAAATTAATTATATATAACTCAAATATAAAGTTTTATAAATATTTCATGAAGATTTAAAAAATCCTGAGCCTTAATTATGATGACTCATCAAAAATTCACAGTTTACAGTATGCTTAGTTTATTTGAAGTCCTGAATGCAAAATAAATTCATAATATATGCATATCTGAAATTAAAATTGTTTAGAAGTGCTTATATTTACTCTTCGCAGTCATTGAAACTCATAGATCCTTGATGAATATTGTTGTTGGGGTGTTTTTGATCTTTTCCTCAATATTGACACAGATGGACGACTTCACACTAAAATCAATTACAAACGGGATGATTTCAGCTTCCCAATTAATTAATTCCCCATTTCTCAGCAGTAACATACCATCTACTCCGTCGAATGGTGTTTACATATTTCAGTTGATACGTTATGCTCGTGCATGTTCACACTATACTGACTTCATACACAGGAGTGTGCTCCTTCCGCAGAAACTGCTCCAACAGAGTTATGAGGAGGAAAGATTAAAAATGACACTCCGTAAATTTTATGGACACCATCACGAAATGGTTGATCTTTACGATGTGTCTGTGTCTAAACTAACTAATGACATTTTTACCACGTCTTAGATTGTGGTTTAACATCTATGTCGTCTGTCTGCTATGTACCGAACGTGACCTATTCCCGAATATGACTGATATACCGAGTGTGAATCTGCATTGATTTACGATGTGTCTCGGTGTTTTGTACATCCAACATTCATGTATTTATTTTTGATGTTTCTGGTAAGGTTTCGGTTGAATAATGTGTTATGTCTTATCGTTTGTTGTCCAAATAATTATAAAAATGCCTCTCAATACCATCATTGTCATATTCCCGAGTATAACTGTTATACCGAGTGTGAATTTGCATTGCTATACGACGTGTCTCGGTATTTTGTACATCCAACATTCATGTATTTATTTGTGATGTTTCTTTGATGGTTTCGGTTGAATATTATGTGTTATGTCTTAACGTTGTAGTCCAAATAATTATACAATTGCCTTTCATATACCATCATTGTCATGAAAGTTGTTTGGACGAATATTGTGAAAATAATTGTATAGAGCTCGAGATTGCGTGTTAGTTACATAAGCGCGTCACTGTTTGTGATATTCTGTGGTGTCTGTCGTTGATGGAATATGTTCGTTGTTGTTCTGCGGTTTGCATCTTGTGTCGACTATTATATCATTTGTTTGTGCGTTTCTCTGTGATGAATGTTCTTGCGTGTGTTTGTGCTGTATTTCTGTCACGTAGTGATGTCATTTAGCGAAATTTCTTAACATTGTCATAAAGCGGGAGGTTTGATTAGCCATTAAACCAAGTTCAACCCACCATTTTTTCTAAAAATGTCCTGTACCTAGTCAGGAATATGGCAGTTGTTATCAAGTATAAAAATGAAGATGTGGTATGATTGCCAATGAGACAACTTTCCACAAGAGACCAAATGACACAGAAAATTAACATCTATAGGTCACCATACGGCCTTCAACAATGAGCAAAGCCCATACCGCACAGTCAGCTATAAAAGGCCCCGAAATGACAATGTAAAACAATTCAAACGAGAAAACTAACGACGTAATTTATGTACAATAAATGAACGAATAAAAAATATGTAACACATAAACAAACGACAACCACTGAATTACAGGCTACTGACTTGGGATAGGCACATACATACAGAATGTGGCGGGGTTAAACATGTTAGCGGGATCCTTACCCTCCCTCTAACCTGGGACAGTGATGTAACAGTACAACATAAGAACGAACCATAAAAATCAGTTGAAAGAGGCGTAACTCATCAGATGGATAAAAATACAAATACTACAAATACAAGTGGACGTGGCCGGGTACTTGTATATCCAAACAACAGAAAGACACTAAGTACAGATCTGAGAGTACTCGCAGTTACTGACAGCTAGTTCAAAGCCACTAACAACTAATAAAAAAAAATCATGCATCTAAGACTAAATTATCAATCCGTACACATCCAACATCCAATGGATTTAGTGTAAAGACGTCATTAACAGTCAGAGAAAACATGACAATGTGCAATGCCAAGATACAGGTATCGACAGATTGTAGATCCATGAATGTGAATATGTAGATAGCAATAATATTTAGTTCGCTTTTAATTTACTGATAACAAAATCAATATTAGTACCAATAAATACAACATTTAATGATCTAATTACAGTGTTGAATTGGTAACCTTTTAGAATAAGTTTATTTAAAGGATCGATAAGTTTACCAGGATCGTTTCTAAATTTCCGGGCACGGTAAACAATATTGCCGTAAAAATGAGGACGTGCAATCACGTTTGAAATAAGTTTTACAACCAAACTTCAAAACCAAATCTTTATATTTGTGGAAGAATTTAGTAAAGGTTTTAAGTAATTTGTGGTAACGAAATCCCTGGCTTAATAATTTACCAGTAATACATAGATTACGTTCGTTAAAATAAAAAACGTCACAACAGACACGAGCATAGCGAACGAGTTGTAAATATAAACACCGTAAGAACGTTCCAAAGGAACATCACCATTAAAAAAGGGAAAATTAACAACAGGTAACGAAAAATCCTCCATTTTGTCGTAAATTTTAGTGTGGTTGTTCGTTTCTATGTATGTTGGCGTTTGTTTTTGCTGCGCTTCGGTGTTCCTGTTGTTCCTTTGTTTACCTCTTATTGTTGATGTGTTTCCCGCGGTTTTAGTTTGTGGTCCAGATTTGTTTTCTCTCAATCGATTTATGACTTTTAAACACCAGTATACTACTGTTGCCTTTATTTGTCCTGTCGATAACCCAAAAGTAAGCCGTAACACCTGAATTTACTTTTTTCTGACCGCGGCAAAAAAAAAGAAGCTAGAAATACAAAAATACCTCAATAAAACTAACTAAAGTGTGTTCTATCCTAAATATGTACTAAATTTTCCATATTCACAGAAACAGCAGAAACATTTATAAATTTGAGGCCCCAGTGGCAAAAAACAGAGAAAAATGCCTACCCCTGGGTCATAAAACAGATAATCTAACCTGTAAATGCTATAATTTTATTATTTTTAATGTCTTTTGAATAGAAAACAATAACTGTGCTTGGAAGTTATGCAAAAAACAGATGTTAGCAGTCAGTTCTATAAAATTTTCAGTGAACTCATACATCAGACAGGTAACTTCATACATACAACTTTTGCAAATATGGTTTTGTTTAAACACTTCTAGTTCATATATTAGCTAAATTATGTTAGGTATATGGTTAGAGATGATTTTGTTGGGAAAAAATTTCTAAACTGACCATTTGAGGCAGAAATTTTGAACTTTTATTGACAAATAGACATACAGTAAGATGTGGACTGGAGACAGAGGCAGGATTGGATACTTTATATAATCTTGAATGTTGGAATGATTACCTACTAAACTTTACATTTATAGTATTCTGAAATGCTTTCAATTTGTTATCAGAATAATTTCAAACAGGTTCTAGCCATTTCATGTCATCAAACATGCACATAGGGTAAGATGACAATAATTAAAGTCTTCTATTCAAATTCTTTAAGAATTGAAACAGGGGTGGGGGTATAAAATGTACAGTAAAAGAAAAGTTAAAGTATATGCAGTGATTTCTTTAAGGCTATAATTCTGATAAGCAAGTACTGTTGTGAGAAAAAGTGTTTTTCAAGAGTTTTCTATTTGAATAAATGTTAGTAAAGGTATCACTTTGTAAATACAGCTGTTTCACAAGCCACGCCTCTTTTGGTGAGATATATAATATTCATAGATATTTTGTTTTGTTAACGTACTGGTTCTCAGATATGATCTGTATGTTTCATCTCAAAGGGACATAACTTGGGAATGTTACCAGTATAAAAACACATGGTAGCGGTGAACATTGAATTCAGAGGACTTCTCAAAGGTGAAGGTAGGGGAAGTACAGAATTTTAGTATAAGTTTAAACTCTTAGAAGTTCGGGGCATATATGTTGAAAATATGCCGCACAGCCCTATGTCATGACCTTTGAATAAAAAAGTAGTGCATATCAACTTTCTGTTCTAGGATATAATGTTTTACGAAACTTCATAGTAAAAGTGGCACAGCTTTAGCCGCAAAAGGAGTTCCTATTGGAAATTGCATTGTCTATATTTACAGAAGTTCAACCTTAAGTAGCAATTAAGAATATGAAATTGTAAATTTTCAATAGTGCATTGAAAAAATCTTGACCACTTACCTAAAAGGGGGCGTTTTAATGGAAAAAAACCCTGCACTAATATTAAATAGAGTCATAAAAATGAACACTTTTATTTCTTGATAATGACATCTGTTATGTAACTGCTCTTTCAGGAATAAGTTAAAAAATGTATATACTTACAAATACTCTAATTTTGTTAGTTCTTTGAAGATCTTCATATCTATCGATTTTATCAGATTGTGTCTCAGGTTTCTTATAATATGAAAAAAAAAATAATAATTAAAATGCAGTAAACATATAGTATTTCATAAGAAGACCAGTACACTACAGGACTTGATAGCAACCTCAATACACTATTTGACAACAACTGATAAACTGTTTTTTTTTTGCCCCAAATTGACTTATGTAGGCTCAAAGCTGATATTCTCTGTCAGTGTAATCAATACAACGAAGCTATAAAGGTTACAATCTACCATTAGATCCTATGGAACTAGTCGATAATGAGCATTACATGGTATTCAGAAACAAAAACATGGCAGATTTTGATTTGGTGGAGTATGCCACAAATAATTTTTTTTTTCCTGAAACCTTATTGATTCTTGGTTAAAGCAATGACAAAATAAAATTTGATTCCTCCTTCTGAAATAGTTGAGAGTTTTTTTTCCTCCTGTTGTTGAATGCATAAATTGTACTGTCATTTTTGTGCGAGATTGACGGTCACCTTTGACAACTGTAAATTACACATAGAAAAGCAACGCGACCGTATATTTTTTTTTATGAAATATGTTATCACAATAAATATTCTTTGTTTTTAAAAAGTTTCATAAAAAAAATCAACTCAATAAAATCAGTACAGCAAGAAACACTACTATTGTCGGCAATGGAAAAACCAATTGTTTTTACATTCTATACAACTGTATTACAAGATGGCGGTTTAGTTAGCTATTAAACCAAGTTAAATCCACTAATTTCTTCGAAAAATGCATGTACCAAGTCAGGAATGATAGAGTTTCCATTCGTTCCTTTGTTTGCAATTGTCGACTTTGAAATTTTCCTGACAATTCAATTGGACATCCAACAGTCAACATGAACAAAAAATAAAAACAACGTCCTGAAATTGAAAACTGAACGATCAAAACAATGTCTTAAATTTTAAACTCAGCGTTAAGTAAACATTTTTCAAAGGATACAAAGGAGACATTCCAAACTAATAAGTCAAAGAGAACTAACAGCAATATGCCAACAAAATGAAAGACGACAACAAATATCAGAAAACCCTACACAGAAAACTATATACTGACCAACATGTACTCCACCAAAAACTAGGGTTAATCTCATGTGCTCCTAAAAGGCAAGTTTATAAGATACAGTTTTGACTTAAGGAAACGAATTTCGACTGGACTAAATAAAAGATGGTAAAAAAATATCATATAGAGAACTTTAGTTTTTTTTGGATTTCAGTATAAAAATAAGAAGATGTGGTGTGATTGAGAAAACTCTCCACCAGAGACTAAAAGACATAGAGGTTTACAACTATAGGTCACCGTATGAACTTCAACAATGACCAAAACCCATACCGCATAGTCAGCTATAAAAGGCCCCGAAATGAAAAAAACGTAAAAACAAAGCTAACGGCCTGATTTGTCTACAAAACAATAAACGAAAAACAGTGTGATGTACAGCAACAAACAACAGGCTCCTGACTTAGGACAGGTACACACATAACGTAGTGGCGTTAAACTAGTTTGTTTGCGACAACCCCCCCTAGAATGTGATAGTGGGGTAACTGTACAACATAAGAACAAACAATAAAAATCCGTTGAAAAGGGCTTAACTCATCAGATCTAGATCGATACACAATTATTTGCTCAGATATTTCGTTTCCAGCTGAGTTATTATTTGTTATGTAATTTTTCAGGAAATATGTCATGTGTTGTCTATAATGTTTATTATAGGTATACAGCCATTCAACTCTCGTGAAAAGTTTGAGCAAATCTGACTTAACGTGACTAGATGAAGTGTTTGTTCAGGTATGACAAAACTTAGTAAAATATTGTTATATTTAGAAATACCAAATATTGTTTTTATATTCTTGGTCAGACTTTTCAGGTTGGACAATATGTACGCAAGCATCAATTTTGACAATCAATTTGATCAAAATTGGCCATTCAGTACATCATTAATCATTAATTTTAAACTTACACGCTTTTCAATTCTTTCAAATTCTCGAACAAACCAGATATATCATCCAAAAAATTGAAGGCCATCCATCTGCAGATAAGAATTAATAAATGTCAATAATAATTCAAGAATAAATTTTGATAAATAAACTAATGATTGCTTATTATACCGTATTATTATTCTGGTGATAATTTTGTTTGCCTTCAAAATTTGTTGAAAGATCATAATATTTTCGTAGAAATAACATCCGTTTCTTTTTTATTTGTGATTCTCTGAATGCATTTGAGATGTAGTGACAACGTTTAATTAATTTTAAAGGGGCCTTTTTAATTTGTCTATGAGATATTGAGTTTAGAATTTTGCACAAAAGTTGAAGCAAAATGCAATTTAAAAGATGTGTTAAGAGTATATCGGCGGTAACATTGGCGTATGAAAAACCCATCCAAAATTAAAAGTAAAAAATTTCTGATCATAACGTGACTAGGCTACAGTTTTACAGTTTGACGCATCACTTTAAACAAAGACTTCATATTCCTGGTTATAGAAATCAAATTTCCTTTTAATTTGGAATATATTCCGAATAGGTTCCCAACAACCTGTTCGTTTTTCTTTGAATATAACTTATCATCCAGATAGTAAATTTGTAAAAGATTACTTAAAAAAAATCTAATATGAGGCAGGTGTTACCTGTGAAAGGGGACGAAGTCCGAATAAATATTTTCTTAATTCAAGCATATTTTTTTACTCATGAATCTGTTAAGAAAGAAACTGAAATACGGAAACGTTTCCGATGTTGGTCCTGTTGTTAGGGATTTTAGTTGTGACGTCATTTTCAATGTTAACAAAGAAACGCTATGATTTCATTAGTACATGTATGTTGATTTTTAGTTCTATTAATTTGCTTATTGTATAAGGCATGTCCCTATAATATTTTACTCAAATCCCGAGATAAAGTATAAAGGAAAAGATTTCTGCGCAGATGCGAGAAAAATAAAAAAAGTAAGAAAAAAAAGTTAACGATTTTGAGTTCATTAGTAGATTAATTTTTTTTTTTTTTTTTTTTTTTTTATTGATTTTTCTACTTCGTCCCATAATAAGTGTTATTTAAGGTATGCCTAATGAGTTACGGTTTTATATTTTTAAACTCATATGTTCCATTTCTATCAATGTCATTCAGACTTTCTCCGGACTTTACATATAAAATTGAGATAACTCCAAAAAGATTTATTTTTAGCAATAAGATTTGACCAATCAGAAACCGAGATATGTGTAAGAGACGGGAAAGATACTAAAGGAACAATTATAATTAACCATTTACTGCGAGATTAATATTTTCAAAAGGCTGTGAAAAGACGAAATAGTTACGGTTGACATACTTGGAAGGCCTAAAACGAATGATTCCGATAATAGAAATAGGCACACACTATTTTGTAGATTTACGGGATAACAAGTTTCAGTGGGATAGACAACGCAAAATCGAAATATAACGGGAGTTCGTGACCGGGTGACATTTCTTAAATATCTGAGTTAAGTACCTTGTGTTATATTAAAGTATACAGGAAAAAGTGACTGTGGTTTGATACCTATCATTTCAAACTTTAGTTACGAATTTGTTTACACTCGGTAAGTTAGTTAGGGTTCCCTTTTTTTAGAAATAATAAGAGAAATATGTAGTTTTAGTACCTAAATACTTTGTGTTTTTCTTTATTTTAAATTCACAGTCATTGAACAAGGAAAGAACACAGCTCCTTTATTTCAAAATATTCTACCGAAATAATAAGCTTTGTACTGTGCATATATTTTTAAAAGTTAGCTGTCAATGCACGAACCGCTTATCTTTCACGAATTTTAATAAAGAATTATATAAGTATGGGAATCTAAAAGTTTTTGTACCAAACTTTAAAGTTTGGCACCTCATAACTTTGGAAGGTAAGATAAGATTAAAATATGATACAAACACAGAACACTCTATTTCTGAATCCTGCAAATTGAATCATGATATATTAAGTCATTAGTTAAATTCAAAAAGTATATCTGTCTTTTTATATTGAAAAAAGCAACTCACAATTCTTCCAATTCGTAAAGTCCTCGAAACACACCCTTTTCAACCAGTTTGATGTTATTTCTTGATAATTGTCTGACAGGACAAATAGAACAAAGTTCATCAAAATATTACTGTTGGTGAAAATTGAATTTTTTATACAAACAACAATAGGTGTGACACTTTAATAAAATAATCATTATCTTATCTTATCTATATCAACAAGTGTTATTATCGATGGTAAATTTCATGATGCAATGTTGAAGAGGACGAACCCATTCATAAAATGTAATAAATCTAAAAACGGTAAATCGATTCATAGTCCACAAGTATAAATTCGGTAAAAAGTTATTTAGAGTACACAAAAGAGAAACGGGAGATAACAAAGGAATATTCCAAGTAGGAAACGAACAAATAATGCCATGCAAAATATTAGATACAACCAAATCCTGCTGCACATGTGACACACGTCTTCTTACTCTTATAGTATATAAGTCACATCATGAATAAGGAGAGAATAACGGATTTATGGCTACAACAACTGTAATACAGGAATTTAAATACGGTAGTATGGTGCTTCAAATAAAATATATAATGGACAACTTAACAATTACTATTGAAACCCGTGAAAGAAAATATCCGCTATCGATTACACATAGTTGTCAATATAATGGAATTTGATGCGACTGTCATACAAGTGAGAGGTTTAGCTAGCTTTTAAACCAGGTTTAATCCACCATTTTCTACATAGGAAAATGCCTGTACCAAGCCAGGAATATGACAGCTTTTATCCATTCGTTTGATGTGTTTGAGCTTTTGATTTTGCCATATGATTAGGGACTTTCCTTTTTGAATTTTGCTGGGAGTTCAGTATTTTTGTGATTTTACTTCTGATATGAAAGCCAACCTTTGGTATACGTTATCAGTTGAAAGATACATGCTTCATATGTTAGTGTTGTCAGTCTGTTGCTAAATAAAAATTCCTTGTATGC